TAAATCTTCCTCTTGAAAATATTATTTGCGTCAACAATATAATCATACTTATAGTTAACTTTTACAAATAGTCAGTTCCAAAAAGTGTCTACATATAGTTCGATATCAATTATTCTTTGATTTAATAAAGTAGTATTGAATTTTGAATGATGAACATAAAGTGTTGGGGACGTTAGATCCCCAGAACTCGCTTGATAAATGTCTTAATTTCGGATTTTATTCATGAGCTAATCAGTTGACCTTGAGATCACATTTCCCACCAGGAAAATCCTTGGCTGTGATTGGTTGATGTGTTATTTTAGTGTGTTACATTTATGACTGTCCTAAGAACGTTTCTATGATGTATGCATAAACGTGATTTGTGTGCTTGGTTCTTTTTGTTTGCTGGGTGTTTGTAGAATACACTTTCTACGCCATATCAAGACTGTTTCTTCAGTTTGCTTGGGTCAGAGTAGCCTATCGTGTTACTGGTTCATTGTCTCATTCTTGTTTATCGACTAAAGTGAACTCGGAATAGTTTTAAGCATATCAATTGACCAGTATAACACATTTATAAGCTATAATATGCTCATTTGTATTGGTTATTTCAGTCTTCCCATTAGTGTTCAAGATTGCAATTGATCAGATCTCTTAGGTGTGATATCTTCATACCGACTATCATTAATATTATTACGATTGTTATTAATATATGAGGTTTTAAGAAAGAAATAAATTACAATCACGTTTAGTTCGTTGATTGATCTGTTTAATTCTAATCCCAATTCTTTTCCCAAAATACTTAATTTAATGTGTAGTGATTTGACAAAATCATTTAATTTGAGTTTATCATGTCATAGGATGTGAATGTTTTACTGTGAAGTATCTTAAATTTTTGTCACCACAATCCAGCCATACAGATACAATTTGATCAAGTTAGACATTAATACCGTTAGATACCGGCTCAGTGGTCTATCGGTTAGGGCGTTCGCACACAATACCGGAGGTCCTTGGTTCGAATCCTGCGGGGTGCAGGAGTCGTGGATGCGCACTGCTGAGGAGTCCCATACCAGGACGAAACGGCCGTCTTTCAGTGCTTCCAGGTTTCTAATGGTGGTCTATCATTGATCGGTTCATGATTTCAAAAACTACAATAAATGACAAGTAAATAATATTAACTTTGCTCAATCATAGGTCCGTGAATAGAATTCCTACACTTAGAGGCTATTGTTTTACAATTATATTAAATGATAATTGAAATTTGGGTAGCCATTAAAAGGCGTTAATATTCCTTATTTAATCCTCTGTCAAACGATGGGATTATGGCCGTCGCTCATAAAAAAACGCTTAGTAAATCATGGTTGTGAGTGACTGAACATCTAGTTACGGTGAACAGTCTATCTATATACCATAAAAAGAAGGGCAAAGTACCGACATCCACAACCAATAAGTTGTCTAATTTATTGTATTCAGCATATTCAGGGAGAGAAGTAGTTTCATGCTCCTAAAGATGCCGTCGGTAGTTGACATTAACCTTTCATTCTGTATATATATTTAGAATAAGGAAATATTCTCTTTGCGATGGATATCCCATATAATAAGATGACAGGAAACTTGATTCTCATAAACTATTAGTTTTCTAGCTAACTGTTCCTTAGTTAGAAATTCTATACCACTGAATATCTCTTGGAATATATTCTTAGCCTCACAGTTCAATAAAGACATGTGAAACGATATGACTGTGGTAATAAGATTTGTAAAATGCTATTGCTTAGAAGCTGAAAGCTCTCCATCGAACTTTTAGAACTACATGTCTGATTATTCGATAGGCAAGGGGACAAGGGTACATGAAAGTAAAAATTCACACTCTTAAAAACTTAATTCACGTTAACAATCCATTACTCAATGTAAATACTTTGCAAATCTTAAATTTTAAATGTTTCGTTTCTCAAAGTGTTTACCGACATGGCTGAATCCACAAGATCTCTTAAATTTAAGAAGCAAGGTGTTCTCACAGGCTAATCTCCCAGGGCGAAAAAATATAAATCTGAATGAATGAAATATTGGAGATGATGATGAGCTTAGATGATGATTTCGAGAGTATACAATGGATGAAGATAATGATCTGAGTTTAGTTTTTCATCACTGTTATTGATCAAATCACTTAGACTACTCCTCCCTTGGATGTAGTTGGTTTTAATGAGACATGCAAAATAAATAAATCCGATCTGTTTATGTATCAAACTGTGACCTTGAATTTGATTTTTATGACTCTACCAATCCCAGTCGTCTTCATTCATCGTGTATTTACAGCTCTATTCCTTCGATTTCTGTCTTGATTCAAGCGTTTAACTAAGAATCAAAGTCTCATTGTTATTCTCCTAAACGGGTAACCAGGGGTAGTTGCTGCAGTAACAAAAAATACTTCCAGTCACAGACCTTTCTCGTTACATCCAGTACGTCAACTTGGAAATATCAAGAAAAGTGAATATTATTGTTCTTTGCACCTACTGCAACTAAAATTAGAAGAAATAAAAAGTATGCAATTACTCAACTGTTCTTATTGTCAAATGTTAACTAAAAATATGGACAGGTAAACAGATAGATTTTTGTATTTCACTCATCAATGATCGAAGCGTCAGATGCCAGGTTTCACCAAAATATACACCAGATTAGCTATTACTGAAGAAGCATTACTGGTGAAGTGTATCCCAACCGACTGTTCACCTTTCTGGAAAGTGACGTATATCATTATGAAGCTCCATTGAGTGATGAGAAGAAAAAAATGTTGTGTACTGATATTAATAATGAAGAACAATTTGTCATATGTCAAGTTGGAGAGATTCATTCCATTCTTAGATTGTATGATATTTTCACATTGTATGACCTCTCAATTGATATAATATTCACATGTCATCAACTGATAGATGATATGTTCATGTAAGTGATTCGACTTTGTAGAACGTGTCAAATGAATATGTGTGTGATTTGTGTTCAAATGGATAGTTGAACATGAGTTAAATTACAGTGAATGTAACATGTAACATGCAATTCATTTTATTTCATCGACATAGTATTAGTTGGTTGTAATTTGATTAGTTTTCTGATGTGAGTTGTTTAGAGTGAGGGTACTGTGTCACTGAATAGAAATGAAGAGGATTTAGGTGCCAAAAATATTGACTCGGACCAAATCATATCATTAAAGATGTTGCGGATATTGTGATTGTCTGTGACAGCACCTTCGTCTGTGGCAGCATTTTAACCGAGAATACCAAAACTCAATGAAACTCTAAGTCAGGAATGAAAGAGATCGAAAGTAAATTTGAAGTATAGTTGAGATGTTGAGAAGTGAGCAGTCTAATCAGATTGGATGTTGTCAGGTGATGCACAGCACGGCTTAATCAACAATGATCCAATTCGAACGTTTGACTGAGCACTTTCAGTTAATGAACAGAGGAAGAAGACCTGAATTTCAAAAGAACTTTTATACTTCACAAAAAGGTTGATCAAATATCAGAGTATATACAAGAAAATACAACTCATAAATTGAAAATTTATCACATCAGTTGATGATCTGGTTACACCGAAATGTCACAACAATACTAGATTCAATTAATAGAGTTTTAAAAGAAGTTCACATGAGTCATCTCGATCAGCACTATATGTGATCTGTATTTGTAACTAGTGATGTTTAGTGAGAAACTGAAGAAACACACTGGACACACACGTGGACAATTACAGTACATAAAGAATGTTTCTATTCAAAATTCTACCTGTGCGACATAGATAATCGCATGATTGCCAAGTTACAGGTATATTCAGCTGACTAACTTCAAATAGAGTTTCATTATTATAAAAAATACGCTTATTCCACACTACTACTACCACTACCATTATTACTACTACTTCTACTACTGTAGTGAAGAAGAACACAGGTGAGGGCAACCGAATTGTATTTATCGCAAATTACAGAGTTACTCAGTAAAATAGGAAAACCATATCGTAAACGGGTAATTTGCAAATCTTCAATCCATCATCAATCCATTGTCTGAAATTTCACCATGAATGCGTTTCATACAAATTCCATTGTGTTCCCACTCTTCCTTTCTTGATCTTCCCCCATCTTCTTCAGCCAGACATTACGTTGACACTCGCGTCATATACTACTCATAGGCAGCGCGCACAACAATACTACTAATACCCACACAACAACAACAACAACAAACACAACAACAACTACTACTACTACGACTACTACTACTACTACTAATACTACTACTACTACTACTACTACTACTACTGATACTACTACGACTACTACTACTACTATTACTACTACTACTACTACGACTACTACTACTACGACTACTACTACTACTACTACTACTACTACCACTACTGATACTACTACTACTACTACTACTACTACTACTACTACTACTAATACTACTACTACTACTACTACTACTACTACTACTACTACTGCTACTACTACTACTACTACTACTACTACTACTACTACTACTACTAATACTACGACTACTACTACCACTACTAGTATGATATTCATGATATTCAGATGTCGTATATAATACGATAATCTAACTAAAACATATCACCTATTGACAACCGTCATATGATGGCAGATAAGACCAAATTTCAAAAACAATTTCCTGATATGCATATTTTTTTGAAATGTCAGTCACCAGTAGAGGAGAGTAACTCTATCATACCCCTGACATGATAATGGATGGGATCCAAGATGGAATTATGGTTGTGTATGACTGAGAAGATGTATATGATGGCGAGAATGATTTCCAGAGATTCTTGTTTTTAAATGATTGTTTAACTAAGACTAGTGTATATTAAAAACTGTAAACGTTTCATTTAAAATTGACCGATTATTAACTGAATCAGAGAATTTGTTGACTCCATTTCAAATCTTTAATCACACGTATTCTATGTCAAATCACGAACGTCATCAACAAAATGACATATATATATATATATCAACAAACATTCATATTCTCCCTCGTACACTTTCACTGATCAACATTCATCAACATGATGATCGTTAAAATGATTATGTTGATGTGTTTGGCACAATGTTTGGTGTGTAACAAGCTGCTGATGTCGGAACCAGCACCATCAAACAACCTGACAGATGAAGCTGCTGGAGGAACAGACGAAGAACCAAGTGAAACTAAGGAAATGGATGAAACGACTGACACGACGACGACTACTGAACAGGATTATGAACCGGATAACTATGATTATGGAGGATTTATAAATTTCATTTTACAGCTTATTACCCTGGTTCTCCAAGACCTGTTTTCGTTTGGAGCAGATCCAACACAAGATAACAATGTTACTACGCAATCTTGAAATGAGCTTCATGAAGTTCACGATATTCATTCACTTACATCAGTCAAACAAACTGGTGTATTTTGTTTAAAAGATTTTCTTCTACGTATACATCAACGAACTAACGTATTTTTTTCATCAATAATCCATATTATTCTCGTATGTAACTCATGTGCTATGTTAAATGTATCACATTGATTAGCATTTTCAATTGTTTTATGTAGATGGTTTGTTTATTGTCAATGATTAGCTCATTTAATAAATTTGCACTGAAATATTTTGATTAAGACAATCAATACAATAAATTTGTTCTATTCAACTTGTACTTTTTGATTTTGATCATGATGTCTTCAGTGAACCAGTATGATCAGAATGTTATTCAGTGTATCTGGTGTTGTTGTCTTATTACTGATACTGGGAAATAAGGGATCACAATAAATGCTATGACACGAGGTGAGAACATAAAATACTGATTTGTACAAGTGGATGTTGATTCGCGGGGAAGTGAAATGACCGTAGTCGAAACTATGATTCATTTATTGACTGATTTATAAACCGATTTGATTACTGATTTAGAAAAAGTCACGTTTATGTAGGATGTCCGTAGTTATGAGAAAGTCCCTTGTTGTATTGTTTACCTCATTTCAATAGGAGGAATATCATGTCTTGGTCTAAGCATCACACTAAAAATCAGAGAAAAAAACCAAAAATAGTTTCCTAACCACCAGGTTTGACTCTTTTAACCGTAGGAGGGTTTTTTATGAGCGGGCATCAAACAACTGGTCAACACATTATTTCATCATCACAGCCGAACCTACAAACAACAGGTGACTTTTCAAAGCCCCAAATTCGAAATCAACGAATTATACTACTACTACTGTGGTGCGAGCTACTTATAAGTAGTATATGACATGAGTGTCAACGTAATGTCTGGCAGCAGAAGATGGGGGAATATCAAGAAAGGAAGAGTTAGAAAACAATGGAATTTGTATGAAACGCATGAATAGTGACAGTGGATTGATGCTTTCGATATGATGAACTGATAGTTTGCAAATGAACGATTTACGATATGGTTTTCCGATTTTACTGAGTAACTCTGTAGTTATCGTCAAATACAATCCAGTTGCCCCACCTGCGTTCTCGTTCACTAAACTACTACTACTAATAGTCGAAGTAGTAGTCGTAGTAATATAAAGGATCACCTCCGTAATTGTACAGACTGTAATTCGGTTAATCTGTATATGGATATATTATCTTGACTAATGTTTTCACACAGAAGAATAACTTTCATGACATCCCGATGTCGCATACAATACGATAATCTAACTAAATTAAATGTCTTTGCCAACTAATTTAGACAAAATCTTTGATAGAAATGATCCTATTCAGAAACTGAAATTCGCTTGATTATTTTTTGCATCAATGAAGCATTAAACACCAAAACTGATCAGTCATAACAAAATAATTCATTGAAATATTTGATAAAGAAAGACAATTATATGAGTTAAAAATTTTTATTCCAGTTGTTTTCGCGTTACTCCACTGTGTAACTCATATCTATCTCTAAAGAACTACATATTTTCAATAATAAGAAGTCAGTATACAATCGATATTGCATTCAACAGGTAAATTGAGACAGCAAATAACAAGAACACCCTTCTGTCAACTCGATAGAGTAATGAATCGTCATATAGTAGTAGTGAGAAGTCATACATGTAACTGACAATTTCCAACATAGAATGACATTATGTCATAATGAGAGATACATAGGATGTTTATTCGTACAAGTAATTACAAGAAATCGCAAGTTTTAACAAAACGTAACAAGATTTATAACTTCAATTAGGTGTAATGAATATTAGTTGAGAATTCTTCATGTTATCTGAAATATTCAAAACTTTTATAACTGTTAATGACTTAAGGTTATGAAAGATCGTTAAATCTATTTTTTTAGTAGATAGAGTTTGAAAAAATTTCGCATTGATCGATTTAGAAAAGACAGTCAGTGTAACTAGAAAGCAGTAGAAAGTTGTTTTGTTCTCATCTAGGCATCCTTGTCAGTGAGACATACACTGACGTTATCATGAACGAAACCTGATGAATTCCAGTATGGAAGTGAACATATCATCTATTGACAACCGTCATGTGATGACAGATAGGCCCAACTTCCTGATATATATAGTTTTGAAATGTCAGTCACCAGTTGAGGAGAGTAAATCTATCACATCCCTGACATGATAATGGATGGGATCCAAGATGGAAGTATGGATGCGGAAGACTGAGAAGATGTATATGATGGCGAGAATGATTTCCAGAGTTTCTTGTTTTTAAATGATTGTTTAATTAAGACTAGTGTATAGTAAAAACTGTAAACGTTCCATTTAAAATTGACCGATTATTAACTGAATCAGAGAATGCGTTGACTCCATTTCAAATCTTCAATCACACGTATTCCATGTCAAATCACGAACGTCATCAACAAAATGACATATATATATATATATATATATATATATATATATATATATATATATATATATATATATATATATATATATATATATATATATATATCAACAAACATTCATATTCTCTCTTGTACACTTTCACTAATCAACATTCATCAACATGATGATCGTTAAAATGATTATGTTGTTGTGTTTAGCACAATGTTTGGTGTGTGAAGAGCTGTTGATATCGGAACCAGAAACACAAAACAACCTGACAGATCAAGTTACTGAAGGAACAGACGAGGTATCAAGTGAAACGAAGAATATGAATGAAACGACTGACACGACGACGACTACTAAACAGGATCCACAATCGGACGAGTGCGATGATGGAGGTTTTCTCAGTTTCCTTATAACTCTTATTTACTGGGTTATCCAAAACTTGTTTTCCTTTGGACAAGAACAAACTCCAGATACCAATGTTACTACGCAATCTTGAAATGAGCTTCATGAAGTTCACGATATTCATTTAATTACATCAGTCAAACAAACTGGTGTATTTTGTTGAAAAGATTTTTTACGTATACATCAACGAACTAACGTATTTTTTTTATCAATAATCCATATTATTTTCGTATGTAATTCATCATTTTCATTGTTCAATTATGCTATGTTAAATGTACCACATTGATTAGCATTTTCAATTGTTTTATGTAGATGGTTTGTTTATTGTCAATGATTAGCTCATTTAATCAATTTACACTGAAATATTTTGATTAAGACAATAAATACAGTAAATTTATTTTATTCAACTTGTACTTTTTGATTCTGATGATGATGATATCTTCAGTGAACCAGTATGACCAGTATGTTATTCAGTGTATCTGTGTTGTCGTCTTATTACTGATACTGGGAAATAAGGGATCACATTAACTGCCATGATACGAGGTGATAACATGAAAAACTGACTTGTACAAGGGGATGTTGATGCGCGGGGAAGTGATGCGACTGTAGTCGAAACTATTATTGATTTATTGACTGATTTGTAAACCGATTTGATTATTAATTTCGAAAAAATGTCACGTTTATCTAGGATATCCTTAGTTATGCGAAAATTCCATACTGTATTGTTTACCTCAGTTTAATTGGAAGAATATCATGTCTTGTGTAAGCTATCACACTAAAAATAAGAGAGAAAAAGCTAAAAATAGATTCCCAAACACCAAGTTTGATCTTTTTAACCATAGGAGAGATTTTTATGAACGGGCATCCAACAACTAGTCAACACATTATATCATCATCACAGCCTAACATACGAATAGTAGATGATTTTTCATCGCCCCAAATTGGAAATCAGCCAGTATATACTTTATGTAACGGATACGCTAAACGCCTACCGCAACTTTAATGTAAACAAATCTATTAGTAAACAGATTCGAAGAAACCGATATATCTCAAGCTTGAACGTAAACTTTTTATGTATAGAATTTGTAAACAATAACTATCCAAATAAGTTCGCTAATGAACTACTACTAGGGTAAGTACTATACACTCAACCCTAGCAGTTAGTTGGCTTTTCTGACTCTCTGTCAGATCAGTTTCAGTTGATTTGTTTACGTTGGCATAATAACGATTCGTTTGGTGCATAGATGCTCGTGGTTCCAGTGTCCCTACATTTTATTCAAGTCATAGCCTATAATATCAGGGACCCAAATCAAACCATAGTCTTTTCATCACTAAAATGTATAATGTTAATAAGGACGCTATCGGATTTTATCCACACTAACGACTGTCACCCTCAATCGAGCATAGGTCACCGACTAGGGCCTCCCTTTCCAGTTCTGTCCAATTTTCGTTCATTCTTCTCGGGTCTTTCTCGATTTATTGGCGTAATGTATTCTTTGACCTTCCTCTTTTCCTTTGACTTTGAGGGTTCCAAGAAAGGGTTTATCTTGTGACATAGTTCGGTGCTTTCCGAAATGTGCATGCTGTCCACTTCCGAGTGCTTCTTCCTGAATTCCTCCTTCACTGGAATCTGGTTTGTTATCTCTTTCAGTAGGTTGTTGCTGATGGTGTCTGGTCAGCGGATCCGAAATATCTCGCGTATTCATTGAGGACCTGACATTTCAATTAATTTGACTAATCGTTCTACTAATGTAATTATTCATGCATCTATTCTAAATTTCTATGCGTAGGTCTTTCATGGTCCGGTATCTGATTCCAATTTGTAAGAACGAGTGAATATGTTATGATATAAATCTTTCCTTGAATTTCCGTATATCATTCTTAAGTAAACCCTGTTTATGAAACAGTTGTTATTAAAAGCTCAATACGGTTTGACAGATGATTTTATTTCGTGCATTTATTTAAGCAGACAGACAATAAAATGCGAAACAAAGTGAATTTAATCAGAGATGGTGAGTTGGGACAACGGGATGTGATGAGATATGAACAAGTATTGTAGTGAATGAGAACACAGGTGGGGCAACCGAATTTTATTTAGCGAAATTACAGAGTAACTCAGTAAAATCGGAAAACCATATCGTAAATCATTCATTTGCAAAACATCAGTTCATCATATCGAACTGGACTGTTCCTGTTGCAAAACATCAATCCATTGTCACTATTCATGCGTTTCATACAAATTGCATTGGTTTCTAACTCTTCCTTTCTTGATCTCTCCTCCTCTTCCGCTGCCAGACTTTACGTTGACACTCACGTCATATACTACTTATAAGTAGCGCACACCACAGTATTATTATTATAGTCAGACAAAAAAAACAAGCCTGATGTGTGATCAATGAAGCAAATAATGCACATACGCACTGATGTAATAAACAGCCGAGGTTATAGGCGAATAATTGATTAGGTTAAAAGACGTGTGAATAACAGCAGAAGAATGGATTAATAAATTTGTTCCAGGCCTGGGATAAGAAGCCATGTGAAATCAATATATTAGAGCACAATTCAGGTCATTACAGTAGATTTCACTTATCCTTAAATAAACTAGAATACCGGTTATGGTCAGTCAAGGGGAATGATGAGGTCATAGCAACAGTTAAAATTCACTGTTGATCAAGATCGATTCGTTCCACTACAAAACATGATAATATACCTCCCAGAAAGTCTTAAACTGTCATGGAGTAGACAGGATTCTGTCCATTCTCTTTAAATATGGTGCTTCTTCTGAAGTTATTTACTCTCTCTCTCCCTCTCTATCTCTAGAGACGGGTACTTACCTTAATTATTGGAAAACTTCATATTTCCTTCCATGCCACAAATAAGGAAATAAGACTGACACTAACAATTATTGGCTCGAACATTTCGACTGTTTACTCTCGTGAGAGACTGATCACTTATGCCTAACATAGCTTTCTTAGAAATTGATCTTGTATGATCTACCACTTTGACTCAACGTAACTGAGGACACCTAGTCTTAGTGTTATACTTCCTTGAGATTTCTAAAGCTTTCAGTGTCTTTACCCACCAGTTCCTTATGCGAAAACTCATATCTTACAGGATCTGAAACCCACTGCTTGATTAGTTTTATTCTTTCTTTAGTCACCGACATTAAATAGTTAAAATACACTCCTTCTTATAGGATGCTGTCCCTGTCAAAGGTGGAGAAATCCAAGTTGGTGTCTTAGGTTTCTTTCTCCTTTTAGCTGACATAAATAATATTTCCCATTACTTCTGTGCAAGTAAGCCTCTTCCATATGAAGACGATCATAAAGTGCCGCATTCATTCTCCACTTATGAGCTGAACATAACGCAAACTGTATCAGTTTAGAGCTCAGTCAAATGGCTCAGTGGTGCTAAAAATGAAAGTCGAGACTGAACACTGCCAAGTACGGATGGATTTGCTTTGGTAAACTGTAACTCAATTTAGATCTAACCATAAATAGTAAGTACAAAGGAAAAAAACAAGATCCTATGATATAAGAAAACATGAACCAACTAAATCACACTTGATAGGCGAAATTTCGGATGATGTAAAACCTCTACATATATGTGCAACATCGCTGATGAGCAAGGTGGATCTGATGTATTTGTGAATGCTCGAATTGACAAAGTAAGGGGAGCATCTCTGAAATTAGATCACATCTAGAACTCAAATTAACTGTCATCAAACATCAAAAGGCATAATTTTTAACGCAAATGTCGTGATATTTCTACTGTATATGGATGACATTTGGAGGGAAAACCACCAAAACAAGCGTCCACAAGATATATGTTTATTAATAGTTGAAAGTATTAGATGGCCGTTTTGTCCTAGTATGAGATTCATCAGGAGGATTCATCCAAGACACTGCACACAGTAATCGAACAAAAGATCTCCAGTCTAGTCTGCGAACACTTAACCTCTGACCTACTGAGCCGACATCTAACATTGATCGATTCATGATTTCAATAAGGCTCAACAATATCCAGAATCTTATAATAACAATTATCATGTGCTCACTAGTGACTAGCTTCAAGATGGAATCATCAAGAACAATGACCTGTAGATTACAACATTATTGTGTGTAAGGCAGTTAGTAAATCATCGAACACAATCGGTCAGGTCGCGCAATATGGTGGATTTATGAAAGGTAGAATAATATAAATGACACTGTTGGATGTCAGCCCAGTGGTCATAAGGTCAAGATTTCGTATGCATCCATGATCTAAGATCCTGAATTCGATTCATGCATGTAAGTTCATGGATTCGCAATGCTGAAGAATCCCATACTAACACACATTGACCGTCCAGTAGACGATGTATTCGACCATATTGAATACTGTAGCATTTTATTCTTATTAAAAATAAACTTATCATACATTATCTAATCGAATGATCAACTCAAACTAATAGTTGATCAAATTATTTTAACTTTGGTCAAATCTAAATTGTCTAAGGTCAAAATAAGGATTTACAAAGTGTTTTTATGTCACTGATCTAATTAAATCATATGTAAAAAAAAAAAAATAAATTAAAAACTTTACTGACTCGATTTTTCAACTCTTTAATCACATGTATTCTATGTTAAATCACGAACGTCATCAACTTAAATAACATATATACATATGTATATATATAGGCATTCATGTTCTCTCTTTGATACACTTTCACTTATCAACATGATGATCTTCATCAAAATGATTATGTTGTTGTGTTTCGCATTGTATCTAATATTTCCAGAGCAGGTGATGTCGGAAACAACATCAACAGACAATTCAAAAGATCAAATGAACAAAAAATCCACCAGGACAACAGATGATGATGATGATGACGATGATGAAGATGATGATGATGATGACGATGACGATGACGATGATCGTCAAAGTGGTCGCACTGATGATCCTGATGATGATGATGATGATGATGATGATTATGATAGTTTCTTAAATCGTTTATACTTGCTCATTCTTGGATTACTGACGAGATTGTTTGGCATTCAAACTGGAGTGCCTACAAATGGTACTACTACTACTACTACTACTACTGAAGTTCCTACGACTAATATGTAAAACATGCTTCCTTCAAAGTTCATAGAATGAAATTGTTATGATTCAATCAACATAATTTATTAATTATATTGTTGTGTAAACTATTGGTGATAATCGATCCATGTGTAAACACACAAATTCAATTCAATGTTCAATGCTCTATCTAGTTCTTTTTTTTCTATTTTATTAATTTCAAATTGTATGAAAGAAAATCTGTTTCTTAAAAAAAACTAATACAATAATACTTCATTTTAGAATAGATTAATTTTTAATCATTGAAATAAAAAGGCTATTATTATGTTATGTTAAATA